GCTAAAGCTGGACAGACAACAGATGATGAAATGTTTAGTAATGGTAATTCTAATTATAAAAATATTATATTTTTAATAATAAAAATATCTTAAAATAATAATAATAATTTTTAACAGAAATTGGTAGTAGAGAATTCGAAAATTTTATTTTTCTTCTTGGAGAAAAAATCCGTCTTAAAGGATGGGATAAATTTAGGGGTGGACTTGATATTAAAGGTGAGTTTTCTTCAGTAATTTTTTCTTAATATTAACAATAATAAATTTGTATATTCTTACCGCATTAATTTATAACAGTAATAAAATTATTTTTATATTTATTACCTTATTGATTCGTAAGAAAATTTTTCTTAATTTATTATTATTTGAATGTAAAATTTAAATATATTTTTTTTTTAGATGAAAACACCATTTTTCTTTGTGTATTTTTATAAATTCGTATTATTTGAAGAAGAATCTTTTTTATCTCGTTAAGTGTTGTGTTTCATTGTTTGCTTGAGGCTAGATAAACATTAAATTCTCAAGTTTTTTTACATTTAATTTAAATCTGGATATGTTTTAGAATTTTTGAATAAAGTGCAATTTTTGTTAAGGAATTCTAAAATATAATAAAAGATTTCTTTTATTTCGGTGCGGTTTCTATTAATTATGTAATTGTTATTGATATCTAATGCTTGTTGAAGATGTTGTAATCCTTATTGAGGAATAATCCTCGTTGATGGTAGTTTTCACTGAGTTGCAAACCTTATGACGAGTGATTCCTGCCATGCAATCCTTACTGAAGAGAAATCCTTGAGGTATACTTAGAGGAATAAGTTTTGTACGGTATAATATTCAATATTGCATTGAAACATAATCTCTGTTGAAGATAATCGTTGCAATGTACCATAATCCTAAAAAAAAAAAAGAAATAATTTTTGTTTTGAGCGTAATCCTTGAGGAGTGAGAAATCCTTAATAGAGACACACTATGTTATCGAGGTATAATCTCACCGAGGATTTGCCTAATCCTTGCAATCTTTGCCACGTAATCCTTACAGAGGAGTGATTCTTGCAATTTAGTCCATCTCGTTGAAACATAATCCTTACTTATAAGTAATTCATGTATAATAGAATCGTTAAATTTTATTTATTCGAGTTATTTAGAATCATCGGAAATCAACATGTAGGAATTGATTTCTTGTTTTAGAACATGGCTAATGATGATCATTTTATATATCGATTGGTTTTGCGAATTTTATTGTGGTCTACTTCTTTTGTGAACGTTATTGATTGCAAGAGGAGTTTCTATTGTGTTTATTGTCAGATGTTGAACCATATTCAACAAATCCTAATCCATATAAAAAAAAAAAAAACGATTTTTGATTAAAAAGTAATTGCACGATAGCATTNTTCTAATGGGTTTATATAAATATATTATTCTAGAATTATATAAAATATATATTTTTTATGACTTGCTAAATAACTTTGTCCTCCTCATTAATTCTTTATAATGATAAATAAATATATATATATTATAAGGGCTTCACAAAAACACATAATTCACACTAGAGTTAGAGCAAGCCCTTTTACAATTTTGGAATAAATGCAGAATATAAAATGTTTGTTTATTTATAAAGAAAAAGCAGTCTTAAAAACTATATTATCACTATATTTTCTCCAGGCAAAGGGAAAATTCCCCAACTATCCTTCCCTCTCGAAGGCCTTACATAATACAGAAGACTACCATACTAAACACACGTCACATACAGTACATACGTAGATATAATACACTCTTGCTAGTCCGGTCCCTCAATTATCCAGCATACTCACTCCCCTTGTGATCGCCTATATATTTTCGTGTTTCGTGTTTCCATGAAATTTTTAGTCGCATCGCAAATCCTGTTTTCTTGGAGTTCCATTTTTGTTGTCAGCATTCCATAGAGTATGCTGTATTATTTGTCTGCCTGCATCCATAAAGAATCGGTAACAAATGGTTCAAGTCATTCATCGCCATTAGTCCTACACACACTCAGCAATCTGGCACCCCTCTGTGCAAAGGAGTAGCCGGATTAGCAAGCTTATATCGAACAATTGTTAGATAAAAAAAATTTGATCATATAGAAACTATACGGAATATATTGATGCGAGGGGGACAATATACCGATAGCAAAAGTCAAGATAATCGATAGGAGATGAAGAAACTTTCCTTTTCTTAGATAAATAATGTAGTGCCATTGAAGAAAGTCGTCCAAATATGGAAGTTTCAACCAATTAAGTTAATTTTGGTCCATTTTTTATTATGAATTGAACATAAAGTTAAATTTTGAAGATTATAATGTACTCTTTAGTGAAACGACCATCGAGAGAGGTGCAATAGATTGATTCTTAATGTAAGATTCTATTAATGGATATCTTGAAGTAGTTCAAGGAATAGTAATAGTGGGAATTCTTGTTAAAGTTTCAACTAGTTCTGTTCAATATCTATACAAATAGATATGATTTAAGAACGAATTTCAAGATTTAAAGTAGAAATATAGAATGTTAGCAAAGCAAATTTTAACCTTTTCTTATAGTAGAAATTAAGCATTCGTTCACTGCCCGTGTCATTTATTACATAAATTTTTCTAAATAATTAATTTAGATCGTTATAATAGAGTAACTGCAATAATTTGAAGGATAGAAACGTTACGGTAATGGAAGAAACATTCATTCCATTACCAAGTTTTATATTCACGAGGAAACTTATACAAATGAATTTTTTATACTAATCTGAAATGCTTTTGTTTCCTTTGTCCAATGTTAAAATAAGATTTTAGCATTGGATAAAGGAAACAAAAGCATTCGATTTCAATTAATTAAATATAAGTTAGTTAGAGAGATGTTATAGAACTATAAATTTTCATACCACAAACCGATACGGTGCAATGACAACTGACAGTTAATGACAAATATTCATTCCGTTAAACTATTATTCTCTGGGTGTGCTTATGACTTGTCGTCAGGCAATATTCCTCTTTCTCTTTATCTATTGAGTTTATGAATGATTTTCTACCAGCAACTTCTTTCCTCAAGCTATTTCACTTTTGGATTTCTCTATTTCCTTACTTCCAATAGTTTTCTTTAGGTAAATTTTATGTATAAAAACAAATGATTATCAGTAAATCAATGACTATACCAAGGTAAACTAAAAAAAAAAAATCGTGAATCTAAACGTTATTTTTGCATATTTAAGGGAGATTTTTTTAATTAATTTTTTATAAATTATTGGTTTTATTCTTGAAAAATTAAATTAATTAAAATTTTGTTTTGAAATTGATTTTTCATATTTTTCTATGTTTATACAAAGTAAATAAACTCAGACGAAAGCTTATCATTATGATTGAAATGTGCAAATATTTACAATATCTGCGTATGCATTCGAGAAATTTATTTGAATATTAAAAAAAATAATATTAAAATCACCCATAAATTCAAATGTAGAGTTTTCGTGGTGTTTTATTCCCGTGTTTTTAACACTTAAATAGGAGCTAATTTCTCATAAATGTCCTCAAGAGAAGCAACCTCTTAGACAGATCATCCAAAGGGTTGCATTGCCTCATTTCCCTGTATAAGTTCAATTTACTAACTATAATTAATTTATAATTTTAATTAGCCATTAGAGTAAAGTGGAGACTCATATTTTATGTAAGAATGGAATAAAAAGATAAGGATTAATTGTCCTCTGTGTTAATTTGACAATGAAATAAACACTTTCTTAATTGATCTTTTGGTGATTGAAAACTTGCTTAAAACTTCTGAAGATTTGATTTTCCATTAATTAACTAAATTAAATATACTAAATTGAATACAAATTAAATTAATAATCAATAATTTATTAATAAATTAACTGAATTACATTTAATAAAATTGCAGATGATGATTATGATGATGATTAATTTTAAATATGATAAAATTTATTTAGTATATTTTCCTTTAGATTAATTTTTTTTAAATTATCATAATTAATAGAAGTATATTCTAATGGGTTTATATAAATATATTATTCTAGAATTATATAAAATATATATTTTTTATGACTTGCTAAATAACTTTGTCCTCCTCATTAATTCTTTATAATGATAAATAAATATATATATATTATAAGGGCTTCACAAAAACACATAATTCACACTAGAGTTAGAGCAAGCCCTTTTACAATTTTGGAATAAATGCAGAATATAAAATGTTTGTTTATTTATAAAGAAAAAGCAGTCTTAAAAACTATATTATCACTATATTTTCTCCAGGCAAAGGGAAAATTCCCCAACTATCCTTCCCTCTCGAAGGCCTTACATAATACAGAAGACTACCATACTAAACACACGTCACATACAGTACATACGTAGATATAATACACTCTTGCTAGTCCGGTCCCTCAATTATCCAGCATACTCACTCCCCTTGTGATCGCCTATATATTTTCGTGTTTCGTGTTTCCATGAAATTTTTAGTCGCATCGCAAATCCTGTTTTCTTGGAGTTCCATTTTTGTTGTCAGCATTCCATAGAGTATGCTGTATTATTTGTCTGCCTGCATCCATAAAGAATCGGTAACAAATGGTTCAAGTCATTCATCGCCATTAGTCCTACACACACTCAGCAATCTGGCACCCCTCTGTGCAAAGGAGTAGCCGGATTAGCAAGGGTGGTCTTTAGTGTAATAGATTGTTCTGTATTCCAATTACATTCTTTAATATAA